GTGAGTGCTCTGATCCCTCCTAGCTATAGTAACCCTCCCTCACCCAGGTCTTAAAACACTAACATACACTCATACTACGTTCGTCCTCCTCAAGCACTCTGGGTCAGTGGTTACATAGGACCTAACATACATTCACCCGACTTATAACTTTTACCGCCATTTTTTTTACAGCAGCAGCGTTCACTTGTTTCCCAGCTACACTTTTTTCCCTCTTCAAAACACTCACTTGTTTTTCTGTCATATAAAAAAGAAAAATTCATCCATTGGCGAAAAAAAAAGTTGTTTTTCCGTCACCTGTCACAAACATTCATCGACCAACAAATATTTATTTCCTTTTAACTTTATTCGTAAATATATATATCTCATGTAGATCCACAATGAAAACGTGGATAAGATAAAACTTCATAAAATCACACGGGAAAAGGGAAACAACGGAGCACCTTAGCTTTATTTTTTTTTTATTCCAAGCCATAACAGTGCTAAGTTACACAATACATACACACACTTATGTTTCAAATGTTGTCCCCCCCCAAAAAAAAATCATTTACATAACCCGTTTCTTAGTAGTGGTATCGGTAGTAGAAACAGGAAGAAGTGATACGTCAAGGAGGAGGAGGAAAGAGGAAGAATGCCCAATATTCATTCGTCATCGTATGTGTGTGTTAATTTTTGCAGGTGAGAAGGTCAGTAGGCAAGGGGTAACGAACTGGTCAGCCTGAAGTATATTAAGACTAAACCCACGTCTCTCTCTCTCTCTCTCTCTCTCTCACGAACCAACTGGGCTTATACAACAAACAGGAAGAGCTGAATACCCCCTCCCCCCCTCACACACACACTCCCTCATCAAAACAAAATCGAACCTGGGACCTCCGTATTACAAACCCACTACAATAACCACTCCACCACCACCTGCATTATTATATACCTCATATTAACGACTGAAACTATATTATAAAAAAAAATATAAAATATAAAACTAGGGAGATTTTAGCTTGTTATTCCCCCGCCAATCACCTGTGCTAAGGGCAGGTGTATCGATGTTGTTGCCTAGTTACCAGTCTGTTACCTGTATAAGTTGCCTTGTTACCCGGGATAGTTTAATATAAGTTGTTAAAAGTTTGGTTCCTGCACACACAAGACCCCAAACACAGAGACATGACCCCACACACAGAGACATGACCCCAAACACACACACAGAGACATGACCCCAAACACAGAGACATGACCCCAAACACACACACAGAGACACGACCCCAAACACACACACACACATGACCCCAAACACACACACACACATGACCCCTACCCTACACACACCCAGTCTTTGCCTCAAGTTGGGCGGCAGGACGACCAGCAGTAATCATCCAACAAGGCAATTAGCCAATCTTCTCGTTACGCGACAATTTACAGTGTGTGTGTGTGTGTGTGTGTGTGTGTGTGTGTGTGATACTAGCTCTCGTGTTCTTATCCTTCTATCATTTCCTGTTTTTTCTTTCCTTCATTTTCCCTTCCTTCCAGAGAGAGAGAAAAAAAATGAACAGTTTGGTAAGATTTAGATTAGGTCAGGTCAGGTCAGGTCAGGTGTCAACAGAGGACTTTCATAGCCAGTTACTAACACTCTCACCACCACACCTACACTGAAAGCGAGACACTCATTCACACATCTGGCCCGGGGGGGTACAAGAGCCTTCGGAGGGGCTAACAGACAGACAAATGGAAACACAAAACGCCACAGACAGACAGACAGACAGACAGACAGAGGACACAAACACGTAAAAAGACACAGACGGATATATGGAGAAGCAGATAGTCGCAAAGATAAACAATTGAGAAGTAAACAAACAGGAAAGGACAGAACAAACAAACAGACAGACAGACAGACAGACAGACAGACACAGGCGTGGAGGGACGGGGAGGGAGGGGTAGAGGTGAGCAACAGCTGAGGCGGCCACTATTGATCACACTGTGGTGGGGGAGGGGCGGCCCCCCACCTTCCCTCCCCCTGGGCCTAGCTGCCACTGCCACCACCACCACCTGCAGCACTACCATTACTACTACTACCACCATCACCAACACCACTACTACTACTACTATTACCATCACCACTACTACTTACACCACCACTATTACTACCATCTTTAACACTACAACTACCACCACTACCTGCAAAACTACTACCACTACTACAATCTATGTCACCAGAAGCTCTCAAGTAACCCGCTTCGCTACCAGTCCCACCACCATCACAACTACCATCTGCACCATCACCACCACTACCACTATCATCTGCACCATCACCACCATTACTTCAACTTGTTTCATTACCAGTCCCCTTCTACCTGCATCATCGCTACAACAACTACTACCCCAACCAAAACAACCATCCTCTTAAAAACAACTACCACCACCACCCCCCCATACCTCTCACCCCCCCCACATACACACACTTGGTCCCGCAATGCATAATAGAGAGAGGGAAATGCAGGTAATGTGTCGACGTTAGACCAGAGAGGGGAGGAGAGGGAATGAGAGGGGAGGGGAGATATGTAATTGCCCCCCAACTGATGTTAATACTTGATCATCTTCTCTATTTAATGTTTAATTTGACTCTCGACCCCTTGGCTAGAACGAACACACACACACACACACACACACACACACCTAAATGTATACATCTTAATTAAGTGTCACGGCTATATAATATCTTCCCGGTATTATTCATTTGTAAAGGTGATGACAGTAGTAGCAGTGGTGGTTGGCGGTGTGGATAGTAGTGATGGTTTGGGTAGGTGTGGATAGCCCCGACCAGACGTCACACGGGCGCTGTTGTCACGTCCACCACAATACTTCTGCTTTAATATCTAAATTTTGTTTTTAAGCTGGCCGCCTCCCTAATAATTCACTATAGGACGATCCAGCGGCCTACCACACCACCTCACACGCACAAAGTCTCTCTCTCTCTCTCTCTCTCACAGGGTAATTTATTTCCCGACCTGTTTCTCCTCTAAAAACCAAACCTGAAGATTAGTGCATGAAAACTGGAATAACTTTGGGTAAGACTTGCTCAACATCCTATCCTCTTTTTGTAAATCTTCGAACACACTTGAGAAATCCCCCTCACGTCTCACCTCAACCCTGGACACACACACACACACACACACACACACACACACACCGCCACTTTTCGTTCAACAAGACTTGAGCTGCACTTCACGTCCAGGTTACGTAAAATCTAAACTGACTGACTGACTGACTGAAGCCCAACACCATCCCCCACTCTAGTCACGAATCTACTACAATCCAACTTTCCAAACCTTAATTTCCAAAGTTTCCCCTTAAATAATTCCACCGCCTCGCACCCACAGAAAACGATCCTCTGCTTGGCCGACCACTCCTGCTTATTGCCAATCCCCACAAGTCCAAAATTTTCAATCAAATTTCTCACCACCATCTGCTGACTTTCTCGATTAATTCTTTACATTTTTCCCAACACAACAGTGGTTTAATAACGTCACACTATATTATAAAACCCAACCGTTGGTGTAAAACAGTGAATGGTAAACAATCATTCATTAATCTAGGAAGTTTTGTAAGTTGGAGTCGCGCTGACGTAAGTAAACAAAAGAAAAGCGACTTTCAACATCAGCCATACTGACCCTCATTCAATATAAACACACCTCTATTTATGAACATGACGGCTAATTTACAAGGATCCATTTACGATGAATTTACAAGCGTACATTTACAGGTGTCCCACAGTGGGTGAGCCCCGTGATTAAAGAGTCATGTTGAGATACTGACTGTTCAGGTGGTCACGCGTGGGTCGATGTACACTATTTGTGGCTCCAGTGAAGATCTCCGGCACGTTGCAACTTTACTGGGACACTGTTGAGGGGTGTGTGTGTGAGGGGGAAGACGGAGGTAAGGAGAGATGGGGGAAGGGGAGAAAGATATGAGGTGGTAAAGAGGGAGGGAGGGAGAGAGAATACAACTCACTGAATATTAATTAAGCCTTCGGTACACAAGGACACAGCGTGATCACCCCCCCCCCCTAAATGTCAAGTACGGTACTTCTATTTACAACTGGATGGACTGGGATCGAACCAACGACCCCTTAAAACAGAGAGTGAGTGTTGTATCCACTCAGTCGCCGCCCCACTGCATGGAAATAGTTCAACTTAATTAGAACATCATTTTCAAGGGTTGACAGTTCACTCACACACACACGAGGTATATCATAGCTTCACGTGAGGCTGACAGAACAATAAAGAGACTCAAAGGCTACATACAGTATACACTACATAAAAGTCTCCTGTAGATAACTAGAGCCTCCTACAAACTGTATAGTACTGTAGCTATGAAAAGACGACGAGGTGTTTGTGTTGGTAGTTAAGATGTAGTGTTGACAAAAAGGAATAAACAACAACAAATAAAACAAGTACTATTATTATAAATACACTGCCACCAGACATCATTAACAAATATAAAATGACTCGCTAACAAATGACTCTTACTGATCAATGACTCACTGACTCTTACTAATGTGTTCGTATTGAAATATTCAACTCTTTACTTCCTTCCATCCGTTTTTATCCAACACCGAGTCGATACCTGGATTCTTGCACTCAGTATAAACGTGTCAGAAGGTAAGGTAAGGGCGGGGAGGTGGATAAGAGTTTCTGGATACGTGGGTTGGAATCCAGGTCCGTCATACAAGCCTGGGTGATGTGTAAGGTAAGCTACTGTACCTCCGGGTGGCAGCAGGGACGGTGTAACTCCCCCATTTGTAAGTTTATCGTCAGTAGTAACCTAACCTAACTTCGAGCTGTGTTGCTTACCGTGAAAATTGCGACGAGGCTGTAATTGGGTGTACTCGGGGTATGAGCCTTGTGTTGATACAGTGTTGTGTTGTGTACTCAGATGCGGGGAGGGGGAGGAGCGGGGAGGGGAGGAGCATGAGGAGTATAAGAACAGACAAACAACAACCTGTGTTGACTTACCGTCTCGATGCATTTGTGTGACGGTGATATGAAGTCGAGTCCTCTGTCGCCTTTCCCTCTAAAACATTCCTGTATGTTGTTGATGAACATGCGTCGCACCGACTTCATGCTGTAGACGCACAGTGCACTGGCCTGTGCTGGTCGCGGTGATCCCTCCCCCTCGGTAGGTTCCGAGGGCGAGAAAACGGCGAAGAGTACGTCGTCGTTGGTCTGGATGCCTAACTGGGTGGCCAGGTCGGTGCCCGGCTTACCCACGTAGGCAGCCTGCGCCAAGTTGTAGCGCTTCCCCTGCGAGTCCTTACACTCGATGGGGATCTCTGTGTAGGAGTAGTAGGCCGAGTCGTTCTGGCACACCCGCACCAGCTTGCTGATGAAAGGCGACCCCGCGTGTGTGTCCTCCATCTGCCGCGTCAGGAAGTAGCTGAACTTCTCTGAGCCGAAGCCATAGACATAAGAGATGGGGTAGCGCTCTCTGGCCAGCGAGTTCACTAACATGCGTGTACTCGTCGTCACGTCCGTCACCGCGATGTCGAAGAACTTGTCGTCCTCGAGAGAGCGCGAGGCCACGGCCGGCACCTCGTCGCGGTAGACGGACTTGCCCGTGTAGGTGACGCCGATATAAAGGACGTGCGTCACGGGCGGGTTGGGTGGCCCCGGAGCGATGAAGGCCACGGTGGAGGACGTGGCGTTGTTGGCCACAATGGCCTCACTCACGTTGCGGGTATGGCCGGTGATATCCCGCAGATCCCGCACTTGACACGACCCCTGCCGCACAGTGCCGCAGACGATAAGTCGCGACCGTGTGTAGTCGATCACCAGCACCTTGTTGACGTTCTGTGTGGCCTTTATGGTGCGGATGGTCTCGTCCTTACAGTCGCTGGCCGAACACTCTATGGAGTCGTTGACGGGGCCAGTGACGACGGACTGGAGGACGCGGAGGTCAGGGTCGAGCTGATAGAGGCGGTTGATGCCCCCCGCATACACTGAACCTGTGTTCTTGTCCACCGTCAGGTGTGTGAACGTCTGTGACGGATCGTCCTCGTATCTGTCTACAATAAAAAGCGAGTCCCTGCCCTCGCCCTCCTCGCCGCCGGAAGTCTCTGCGGCCAGCAGGAGCAGCAGCAGTAGCAGTGGGAGGAGCAGCGGCCCGCGCCATCGTACCCAAGGCGCCCCTCGTCCTCCAGGGCCACCGGGGGGCGCTGCCCCCGCCACCACGCTCACTACGCTCATACTCCGCGCGTCATCCCACACCTGTAACAACAGAACACACTGTTAGTAACAACACACTAACACAACATAACATTATCAATTATTAATAGAGAGATAAAACAACTCATTACATTCCTCTGTTTATGGGGGACAAATACATAAAGCTAAATTTTCTACACACCATCAAGGAGGGCAGCACTATACAGCGTGTGACGGCCAGCCAGCCACACCATTAAACCCAGGACACACACACACACACACTGGTACGTGGAAACACACACAAAAACAATTACTAGAAGTGTGTGTGTGTGTGAAGCAAACACAACAGTGCACATCAGTGGCAACTTGTACATAACCAACATATATACACAGGGAATCAAAGGCAGTTTCTATTTGGGCTACGGCGACCTTCTGACCCCAAAATAAACAAACAGGATATTATGACGCAGGACCTAAAACATTTACAAAGCTTCCACCGTCATTTTTTCTTCCACACACACACACGCGCACACACACACGCGCACACACACACACACACACACACTAGTGAGGAGTATACCAGAACTAACGCTGAGAGGTCACCCGTTTGATGCAAAACACAACCATTTAATGATCTTCAACAAAAATAGCAATACTAATAAAAATAATAATAATAATAATAATGAGAACGATAATAATGATAAATAATAATAATAATTCGTTTGTCCCTTCATTCGTGTCTGTCCTTTTCTGTCCGTCTGTCTCGTCATTTCTCACTCTCCCTTCAACACCCGTCCCTCCTCTCTCCCTCCCTCTCTCTCTCTCTCCCTGCCTACCTAATCTCCCTCCCTCTCCCTCTAAAGGAGCCACAAATTACGGTATAATTAAGCCAAACAGTGAGCGGTGTACCTGCAAATGAGTCAGTTAATCACCTCTGAAACAGCCTCATCAACCAATCACACGAATTAGTTGCATTTCAGCCAATCGGAGACAGTTCACTATTAACTGAGCCAATCGAGCACGAGTTTCCGATATTTGAACCAATCAGGGACGCGTTGCCGATATCTCAACCAATCAGAAACGAGTTAACAGAATCACAACCAATCAGAGAAGAGTTACACCTCCTTACCAGAGTCAATCGGGGACAATTTTCCGACATCTGGGCCAATTACCAAGTTTACAGCATCGGTGACCAATCAGAGACAAGTGACCAACATCAATGACCAATCAGAGACGAGTGACCAATCATGGCAGCGTAAAGGATTAAAGAAGAACAGTATTGGTGTCCGTCAGACCACTGGAAAACACACGAGAGAGAGAGAGAGAGAGAGAGACGCACCATCACGGGTATTTCCAGGTGTGATAGTAGCCTCTCTCTCTCCAATATTACCACCGTTGCCAACAGTGTTCCAACGAGTGCGAGTGATCCATACAAGATGGCGGCCACATTAGATACTGATAAGTGACCAACTAGTGACTTACATCTACCACCTACATCGATAAGACACAATCCACGTGAATGAAGGCAGGGCGAGCGCTGATTGGTCCTCACCCAACATGACGTCAGCAAGGACAAGGGAATGATACGAACTGATTGGTCCTCTTCCATCATGACGTCAGCTAGGACAAGGGAATGATACGAACTGATTGGTCCTCTTCCATCATGACTTAGCTAAGATATGGTAATGAAGCGCGATGATTGGTTCTCCTCCAACATGACGTCAACAATATTCACCAATGGGTAATTCAACATAGTTCGATCTACACCATCCTCAACCTAATCTAGATGATGACGTAATGGTTAAAATGGACCAATCACTGCACATTCTACCGAACACACGGGGGTGTGTGGCTGGCTCCTACCTCACACATCATTCTAATTTTAGTAGTGAGGTGGGCGTATGGGTGGTGGGGTAGTGGCGTATGGGTGGTAAATAGAGGTGTGTAGGCGGGAAGGATTTGGTTGGCAATGGCATACATAGGACCTCTCTCTCTCTCTCTCTCAAAACGGGGGGGACGTGGGTGTGGAAGAGGGGAAAATGGGTGGGATGAGATGGGTGTGGGCAGGAATGGTTGAGAGGAGGGAACAGAATAGTGGAAAGGTGGGGAGAATATATTTGAGTAGTGTGTGTGGTGGGGTGAGTAGGGTAGGGTGGGGAGAGGGGAGTGGGGTGGGGTGAAGGGAGTGGAGTGAGGGGAGTATCAAAGAGCGTATAGTAAAACAAATTCGAGACTACAATTGTTTTTTCCTCTTAATTCATGACCAAATTTCATGGTTTATTTATTTATTTTTATGTAACAGCCAGCACGGTTACCCCAGAGGACAAAATATATAAAATACATTCTAGCATAACCATAATAAATAACTAAAAAAAAACACACAGGAAAGATACGAGAAAAATTATAAGTAAAAACAAACCAACTTTAGCTATAAATACCAACATCCTTAAACACACAAGAGGTTCAGCCCGAGAAAACTAAAACAAAATCTAATCGAGTAGTCAGTCAGCAGGATCACAGGAGACAAAACAAAATTGAAGCGACGCGGATTGTTTGAACTCTTATACCTCCTCCCGGAAGATGAAATGAAACAAAATCGAAACACAATTGATTTTTTGAGGGTTTATATCCTGTGCTGTGTGGAGGATCTGAAGAGGCATCAGGTTTAACGTACAATAATACAACAGTGAGGCTTCTCCTGCGTTTATCTTCCCCGGGTTAGAAGGGATCAGGATAATCGAGGCCATTTTTAAGAGGATAATGCATAAACTCCAAACCGAAACAAAATCATAACGATACACACTAGAATGGTAACCAAGCCACATGTCAGTCCTTGAGGTGGAACAAACAAACCAATGAAAAGGTGTTAATTCTTCAGTGTCGTTTGTCGAGGAAGGGGTCAGATTACTCCCCGACAAAAGGAGGACGAGTATTCTGGAGCACTCTTGGACAGACCACCACCACCACCACCACCCACAGAGACCAGCATATGGGATCAATAAGCCGAGTGATCGCATTATACGTCACTCACTATAGGGTTGGATTACACGCCGACACCCTGCTAATCAATCGGGCGCATGTCTCGTTGCGTCTACACCCTTTTCCCACCTCAAATAGAAATCTAGACAGGTTTCCACGCGACCCCGTACGTTTTCCTTGCTTAATTATCCTCTGCTTGTACGATCTTACTGCCCAATTAACCCCCCACCCTATACCTTTTTTGTTCAATTATCAGTCGGTACTTGACGGCTGACGGGAGAAACGAGAGGGCGGCACTTGATTGGTTAATGAGTGTCGTGTGAGAGCTCTTATTGGCTGGCGGTAGTGCTGGGGTCCAACTTACGGCCCCGCCACCGCCCGCCCAGGCAAGTTCCAACACTCCATTTGGACGCCAGGGAACGTAAGAGGCAATTCCCGTCGATACTTACTGCCAATTCCGGTCTGTATTTCTACCAGAGTACCACCGGCGGCAATCTGACCCGATACATGATGCAAATTACACGTTAAAAGTTGGCCTCTGTAACATTCTATCTTGTGTAATAGTCGAAGTTACTCCAAGTCTACCTGAAGACACTACAGGGTTACCTACCACGCCCAGCAACCACATCCAACAACCACGCAGACACCACAGTCAACCACACCCCTCTCCAGACACACAGCCCAGACAGTGGACAATATGTGGTGTCTGCGACGGTAGTAACAAGATGGTGGCAGGTGGGCGTGTGGGTAAGTGTTGTCAAGTGAGGGAGGAGGAGGAGGAGCCCCCCCCAAAAAAACAGCTGGGTGGCACATCAGCTAATCGGAGGCGCAGCCAATGTAAACAAACACTACAGCCTACCTACCTACGTCACACCCTACCTACCTACGTCACACCCTACCTACCTACCTACGTCACACCCTATCTACCTACGTCACACCCAAACCAGAAAGAAAGCCCAAAAAATAGGCTAAAGGAAAAAGATGAGAAAAGAAATAAAAGATAAATCAAAGAAAAATAAGTCGAAAGATTACGAAAGATGTGAGAATAAAGAAACATAAAAGACGACACAAAGAACTTCATGATAACCACGAGACAGGAGGAAGTGGAGTAAAAATATGAGAAATGATGAAGTAAAAAAAATAAACATCCCGAAAGTGAGAGAAGAAAATAAATGGAGAGAAGAGACGAAGTGTAAATAGAGAATTAATTGATATCATGAATGAACAGAAACAGAGCAAGACAACGATAAAAAGGAAGGGAAAGGGAAATGCTACTACTACTACTACTATCACGACTATTACCACCACCATCACTAATACTACCATTGCTGTTATTACTATTACAACAACTGTTCCAACCACCATCCCATAACTACTACTCACAATAACCCAACCACGACTACAAACCCAACCACAACTACAACCCCATCAACCAACCACAACAACTCCCCCACTACTAACCACTACAACAACCTACCCCCTCACCCCCTTCTCTACAAAGACTGGTAACATTGTTGTGTTTGGCTCATAAATACCAGAAATTTCACGGCAGGGGGAGAAAGAAGAGGGGAGGGAGACAGGGAAGGAGGAATGGGAGGGAGGGGGAGGGGAGGAGACGGAGGGGAAGGGGAGACACCTCCACCCCCCTCCCCACCCCCAGATCTCCAGTATGCAAAGTGGCACACATAAATCTTGCTTTACACCCCCCCTCTACCCTCCCCCAGTTGGGACCATCCCTGGGGAGTGAAGATGATAATGAAGAGAGAAATGGAAGACTAAAAATATATATTGTACGATGGAAAGAGGACACACACACACACACACACACACACACACACACACACACACACACACACACACACACACACACCAGCATTCTCCAACTCCATAAAACTCCACTTTATGGGTACTCACATCCTCGACAATACTCCATTTCTACTCCACTGTCACTACCTCAGGGTGGGGGGGGTGTTGAAGCTAATATTTACTCCATAGCTGTTGTGTTTATTTATGACACTCCGGGGAGTTTAGGCCAGAGGGGAGATGGGGTGTTGATTCCTAATTGATGACACTACGTTATCAAT